AAAAAAAAAAAAAAAAAAAAAAAAAAAAAAAAACATTTATTATGTTACGTGGCAAACAACAAGTTGGGGCAGCACCAATTCTAACCACAAAGAAATTGTTTGGATGAAACAAATTATTTTGATAATTTAGAGGCCATAATGAAACGTAAATGAAAGAAAACTAACGAGTCTATTTGTAAAATGTAGAGTAGAAGAAAAAAGTTAACATATTTACTTAAGTAAGGTAATGAACTTTGTTACTTGACACCTCTGCTTGAAGGTCAACGCTGAGATCCTTCCAGCTTGGCATTGTGCTAACCCCCCCCATGCAAACATTAAGTGGAAAAACAACAAATCTTTCCAAAAACCTACGGACTCTTGTTCTGGTGATGTATTTTCTAAATGAATGCCTGAGCAGACACCCTGTCCTTCTGGAGGCTCTCAGGGAATACATTACAGTTATTCACCATCGGTCACATTTTCAGAGGAAAAACACCTCGTCTATCAGCACTTAGTTTGATTGGACGAGCTCTACATTCAACTTCTGACACTCCTTAATCTTAATCAACCCTTTTTACCGCAGACATGTTTGAAGAAGTGCCAGTCGGACGATAACTCAACAAAGTGAGAGTGTTTGCACTTCTTCTGCCAGCTCGCGCTGCAGAAATGCCTTCTCTGCTATCAACTTATGCTGAATGGGAAGAAAAACAAACATCCTGCCTTTTATCAAAACAGTCCTTCAATAATCCCCCTCTTTGTCTTTGTCTGTAAATAACACCTCAGATATCTTCAAAGTTGAGATGAAGCAATATTTAACACCTTAACTTAACACCAAATTCAGTCATGAAATCAGAAGTTTATTAAGTAAAACAAACTTCACGCACCATTATGATGATTTAAAAAAAAATGGAAGAAACTGAGCAAAACATTAAATACAAATCAGGGGTAAAAGGAACCGTTCTCAGCGGATGATCAGGATCTGAAAGAGTGAAAACAGACAGCAGTACCTCACTGAAGTAACCCGAGAACAGAGCCTTGGGGGATACCTAAAGATCACATGGTATGGAGAACACAGAGTGAGTCGCAAGAACGTGACTCCAGTTAGTTTGAGGGGGATTGTCGGGGTTGCAGGAGCTAAACAAGATGGACTGAATGTGTTTTTATTTGTTTCTTTTCAGGGGAATCAGTAGCCCCATTTACACTACCCTCTGAAAACCGATCTGTGCCGAGTTTGGACCGAGCTTGGATCGGTTAACCATGCCAACTCGGTTCCTTATGACTGTTTACACACCACGCTAGCACGATTCCTTCGCCTCCAATGTGTGATCTACAGAACAACTGCTGTCTAGAGGTAAACAAGTAGATCGTCATGGTGGCGCCTGTAACATTCAGATAGTTTGGTTATATTTGTGACATTTTTGTTGTTTGTGGAGAGTCAGGCGAAGAAGGCAGCTTTTCGGCTATTGGAAAGTGGATATGACAAACGATAGTCTAATCAGGGCTTACAGTAGTTGTGTACGACCAAAAGAGGGCACTGGGGTGCCGCCCCACCCACCCAATGACCCCGATTAAAACAGAAAAGATGGAAGACAAACATTAGATTAAATTAAATAAAAATGTAAAATATTTCAAAATATATGAATATATATTTTTTAGATCTGAAAGATAAATATTTAATCTTTAATGACTGGTAAAGCGCCATTCCATTTTTGGCCAGATTGGTGGTGTATTTCCGTCCTAGGGCGCCAAAATCATAGACTCGTTAAAAATCGTACATGCGCAGTAGCTCCTCTGCAATAAAAAAGGTATAGAAGAGCTCGGGGCGCCGGAGAGCGTATTTGCTCAATACCTCCCTCCACAGCGCAAACTTTTTGAGGCTGATTGACAGGATGAGTCGCAGGAGAGACACGTTTTTATTGGGTGGGGGAATGGAAACCATCCTTTTCCAGGACCTGGTTTAGCTACAAGGCTTGGCTAACTGCATGTAGCGAGGCTAACACTTTATTCTGCTTTCCCTGCCTCCTTTTTAAACGTCAGGATCTGACCCAGCATGGATAAAGACAGCTAGGACTGATTTAAAGCACTTTTTAGAAAAGGCAAAAAAAGCATGAAAAATCCAGGATTCACATGGAAAATAATATAATATAGTTTACTCTTTCTAGGCGTCTCCTAACTTGGATAGTAGCTCTTAAATAAACACATTCTCAGAATAGTTTTTATATATTAAAATAATATAAAGCTGACTAAGAGCTTCTCTGTTATTAAACTGGTATATTATTTTTTTAGGTTCGTGAAAGAATATAGGACTATTTGTCTACACAAAGCCTCAGAAGGGCAAGATATATGTACAAAAATAAACCTGTAAATGAAATGATGTTTTGTTTTTATGAAGTATTTTTATAATGTTTGTTGTTGTTGGCATTCATATACGTATACCGGTGTGATATGCGTTTGATTGGTTTTTGGTATACGTCTATTTTGATTTTATAGCCCTCCCTGGAGAAAACTCCATCGGCCGCCACTGGTGTACAGACGCAGGAAACAACAGACTATGAGGTTCGTCACAGAATCATCACTGGAAATCATGTGGCATGGTAGGGAAGCTGGTATTTTTATAAATGTCTGAAGTTTCATGATTATGGAGGCTGACTGTAAGGAGATGTCGCGGCCTACTCATGCGTTCTTTGTTATCTGAGAACTGAACCGCGCCGAGCCCTACTGATGAACTAGTACCATATTAGCGTGGTTTGGTTGTGTCTGGCGCGGTCCGGCTCAGTTTTACATGCCATTTACACTCAACAGTTATTTCGGTTACCATGTTCGGACCGACCAGGCACTGTTTCAAAATGGTAGTGGAGATGGGGCTATAGTGGCAGGCGTTCAGGTTTTTTTTGCAATCAGTTGGTTAAAGGTCTACCGGAGAGATTAGTGCGTGACGATTAGGAAGGAAGGCTTATGCACTGCAAAAAAATGTAATCTACATAAGTCATTTTTTTGTGGAGTTGTGCTCACTGGGTGAGCAGGTCTTCAGGCCGCATCGTTGAGGCGTTTTATGGAGGGATGGGGCATTTAAGCTTTAAAAAAATACAGATTCATCAACACCAAATAACTCAAAGCAGTCAAGCTCTTAAATTAAGGTTTAAAACAGTCAGCAGGAGTAAAGTCAACCAAGTTTATCAATCAGGAACTTCTCCTTCCTCTGGATTCTCACATATAGAATATTCAGTATTTAGTGATTCCCCAGCGTTGAAGTAAATTACTTCTTAGAGATGTTGTTATACTTGGAATAAAAAAATCTGATGGCTATAAGTCAGTTAAAGGTATTTGAAAACAAAAAGCGATTCATTGACTTTTATGGTGAGTAGTGACCTAGTGGTTAGGGTTTAGGGCTTGGAATCCTGAGGTTCTGAGTTCGATCCCCACTCCCACAGACTGACACCTCTGAGCAAAGACCCTTAACCCCACAATGGCAGCCCACTGCTCCCCAAGAGCAGTGGGCAAAGGTAAATTTCTCCTATATGAGATCAATAAATTTCAATTATTGTTATTATAAAAAAAAAAAAAGGTTTCATGAAGAAAAAAAAAATCACCTGAGTGAGGTCATACGTTCAGTCTGAATTATTTTGCAATTCTTCATAAACTTCTCTGAATTTACTGCAGTCAGTAAGAAGCTTGTTTGCTTCTTGCTTTAATTTATTACTAAATATTCCTTCTTAATGCTTAAATTAAACAAACTATTTCCAGTTCACACCAGTAAACTTCCAATCACAGATCACAGCTATGAAAACAGGAGGCAGGTTTAATGTGGCGTATAATGTGAAATAAACAACCCAGGATTGAGTGATTAACTGCTGATCTTCAGGATGTTTCCTTAGTTTCAGTTTGAACTCTTTAAACAGGGTTATGGAGCGACTGGAGGATGAAGAACGCCATCGGCTGGCCTTTGGGTCGTACCTGAAGGGGCAGGCAGCTCTGCTGGAGTGTTGGCCGGTGCGTGGGCCCCCGGTGGGATCTGGATGTTGTTGTAATTTGAGGCAGGTTGGCCCCCTGGAGCCGATCCAGGATCCTGAGAGAAGCCGATTCCTGGGGCTGGACCTTGATTTGAATTCTGGTCCTGAGAGGGAAGATCTGCCCTGAAGGAGCCTCCGTGTGAGAAGCTCTGTCCTGAGAAACCTTCGGCTCCAAACTCATCTGAAATGCAGGAAGAAAACACAGGAAACTGTTTCAACTTGTTTCATAATTCAAAGAAAGTTTGTGAAACTTGTAATATTGATCTGCTTCGACTTTCCACTGGTCAGGAGTGCTTCTTTTACATTTCAGAAGGACTGGCTCTGCCTTTTAAAGCAGCGGGAACTGAGCACTGAATCCATAGGACTCAGTTAAAGCGGGTTAATTAACCTCTGGAGAGCAGTACGCTGTGTTTAACACACATTCTGGCTCCCACTCCCTCCACCACATAGATATACCAGCGGTGGTTACAGAAACACCATTGTCTCCCCGCAGCTCCGCTCTGACTTTCCATTGGCTGGAAAGGGGACGTGTTGAGCAAGAGGAAAGGAATGGATGGAGGGTGGAGGTAGGGGGACTGAAGAAAGGAAACAACTTCCACCACTGAGCTGCAGAAACAGAACTGATGTCGTCGGTTCTGGTTACCACAGGAACATTTGGATTCCAGCAGCGTCTTGCATTTCCTGCAGAATCCGTCCGCATGTTTCCTACTGGTCCTCCAGAAGAAAACCTTAATGAAGTTATTTTAAGTAAGCCCTCATCGTAAGGAGAGAAGCATGGGAACTTATATACAACGTTCAACCACTTCCATAAACAAACGGGGGGAAAG